GAGGTGCTGGAGCGAGTGCAGAGGAGGGCAACGGAGCTGGTGAAGGGCCTAGAAGACAAATCATACGAAGAGCGGCTGAGGGAGCTGGGGCTGTTCAGTATGAGGAAGAGGAGGCTGAGGGGAGATCTCATCACTCTCTACAACCACTTGAAAGGACACTGTAGAGAGGTTGGTGCTGGGCTCTTCTCACAGGTAATTAGTGACAGAACGAGAGGGAACGGCTTCAAGCTCCAACAGGGGAGGTTTAGATTGAACATTAGGAAGGAATTTTTCCCCGAAAGAGTGGTCGGGCATTGGAACAGGCTGCCCAGGGAGGGGGTGGAGTCCCCATCCCTGGCTGTGTTTAAGGGCCGTTTAGATGCAGTGCTGAGGGACATGGTGTAGGGGAGGACTTTGTAGAGTAGGGGAGATGGTTGGACTCGATGATCCCAAGGGTCTCTTCCAACCTCAATGATTCTATGATTCTTCCTGCCCCTTGGGCATCGCTGACCCCAGCTCCCCTCGCAGGCGTGAAGGAGGTGGATTATCGCCTCTACCCCAGCAAGGAGACCCAGCTGCAGTGGCTGCGCTCCTACCTGCAGGCCTACAAGCAGCTCACCCAGGGGGACCGAGGAGGTTCGGGAGTGTCCGAGGAGGAACTGGAGGCTCTCTACGTGCAAGTGAACAAGTTTTCTTTGGTGAGTGGTGGCGGCGGTGGGAAGGAACCCACCTCCCCCAAGGGCTGCCCATGGGGTGGGTTTTTGCTCTGCTCTGAGCTGGGGCTTCGTGCTGCAGCTCGGCTGGTGAGGATGGGGGTGCAGGTACCAGCCTGAGGTTTTGGGGTCACCTGAGGTAGGAGGCTGTCCTGAAGAGCCCGGCTGCACCTCAGAGACACTGAGCCCTCGGGCAAGGTCAAAGACAGCTCTGGCTACCTGCCATCCCCCTGACACATGCCAAAGGACAGCGTGTCTCTGATAGCTGTGGCCTTGGCCATCCCTTCGGAGAGGTCAGGTGGACCCTGGACGCAGCAGAGCATGAGGAAATCCTCTTTGGTAAATGCCATGGGCAGGCAGAGATGATTTTCTGGTCATTTAGGGCAAAATCTCAGCTGGTTTCCTGGCCAGAGCCGCCAGGAGGGTCATACTGGCTGCAAACACAGAAGCTGGTACCCTGAGCAGGTTGTGTGGCTGTTCAGCATCCTTCCTGCTGGCATCCCTGGCCCAGGCTGGGACCAGCCTCCAGGGCATGTAAAAACACACGTGTGGGCCAGCCCCAGCTGGCTGCCACCCCACGTCCTGTCGTCACAGCCACGGGACTTCTGGGACCCGGCCAGGAGAGGCACGAGCGGCTCATCCCACGGGCAGGGATGCTCCGTGCCCGTTTCTGATCCCTGCTTTGTCTGTCGCAGGCATCCCATTTCCTCTGGGCATGCTGGGGCCTGATCCAGGATAAATACTCTACCATAGACTTTAACTTCTTAAGGTGAGTCCACCAGGGCTGGGGGGGCATTTGCTCCCAGAGCAATTCAGTGTTAAATGCCTGGAGCAAGAGGATCCCAGTGATTCCCCACCTGATGCTGGAGGGATCCTTCAAGGCAAGGGGGGACACGGGGCTGGGGCACGAGTGTCTCACGTCTGTCCCTCTCTCCTCAGATATGCAAAGCTAAGGTTTAAACAGTACTTCAAGATGAAGCCGGTGGTCACAGCCCTGCAGACTTCTAAATAGCATCTCCGGCCCGTGGAGACCCTGAGCTATTTTGTCCTTGCTGCATCCACAGCCCTCGCATCCCCCTCGCCCCTTCCCTCCCCCGGCTGGGGGCGAGGGCAGGTCCTGATGGAGGGAAGGGGGACGAGGAGATCCATCCCAGCCACCGGCTAAAGGAGACCCCGGACATCCCTGAGACTGGACCATGAGATGCTCGAGAGGACCACGGCCTCGGAGAGGCCCCTGCCTACGCGAGGAAGCCTTTACCATCGCCTTAAGGCCGAGTCCCGGCTCGGCCCCGGTGCCCAGCGGGTCCCTGCTTTGCTGGCACCGCTGCTGCTTGGCTTGGCACCCGGATTGCTCCCTCCCTGCTCCCCTCGAGGGGGGAAACGGGTGCCACCATCTGCTCAGGAGCCCCCAGAGCTGCCCAGTCGCTTTAGCTGCCCAATGCAGACGCTGTGCCCGTCACCTCTGCTGCTCCCTCTGTCCCCTCTTGCCCACTCGGTGCCACTTGGGCTCCCACCCCCCAAACCAGCACCTTTCTCGGGGTCAGTATTGGCGCTGGGCTGGGGGTTGCGTCCGAGCATGGGACCTTTTTCCACAGGGATGCTGCTGGGATGGTGCAAAACAGCAAGGGGAGGCCACGGCCGTGAGCCATATGGGCTCCGGGACCAGTGGGCTTTTGCTGGTGGGCACTGGGTGCCTGCACCTCCTGCACGGTGCTCAGCCCATGGCTGGCTCTCCTCTTCCTCACGGCCATGGTCTCCCAGGCTCCCAATAGCTCCCTGCTCCCATTGTGGCTTCCCTCGTAACATCCCATGCTGCCAGAGCAAGGGGCTCCCAGCTCTGCCTCCCCCAGGGCGAGGGGGGGTCAATCCTGACCCCAACATGGGCATCGTCCCTCTGTGGGACCCCCAGCAGGAGGCTGAATGGGGCTGACCTGCTCCATGAGCTGGGCAGAGCTTCATCCCATCAGCACTCGGCTGGTCCCCCATCACAGGCTCTGGGAGGGTGATCCTGACCCGCTGAGCACTGACCAGCTCATGACAGTGGTTGTGCATCAGCTGGGGATTTGGAATCAGACCCCTCTGCCCCTGCCCTGGCTGCCTGGTGGGTGGCATGGGGACATGGCAGCTGTTCCCCACACG